AAAGTTATGGAAGTTTAAAAAAAAAAAAGTGAAAAAAATGACAAAATTTATCGATTTTTAAATTTGTAATTTTTTTGGATATTTCCCCCATTTGCGGGGAACGAAGGAAAATTTTTTAATTTTTGAGGGTAATGTCTTCGACTAGATACGATTTGTGATGTTTTGACGTATTGTTAAAAGAAATCGGTCCAGTGAGAGCTGAGAAAAAGTAGTTACAGACACAAAAAAAAAAAAATAAATATCGAAGCTAATAAGTTATAAAAATTTAATCTATAAACAATGTAATATTTATTTTATTTAAAATTAAAAACAATTCCTGTCTTTTTTTAGTCATATTTTTATTACTATTATTTAGAGCATGCAAATCACAAATAACAAAAACAAATGAATTACCTATTGTAACTACAAAATTATAAAAAAAGAAACAAATTTGTTATAATTCAAAAATTTTGAAAGGCAAAGTTGGTAAAATATAAATAATGAAAATGAAAGATAAATGATGGGCTTAGTGAGAACCTGATGTTGTGGTTCTATCGGGGTCGTATGGTTCGAGGGTTTAGAACGACAAAGACAAGTAGATATAAAAATATATATTAAGTTCCTCTTATAGAGGTAGAATAAACTTTTGTCTGGTTAGTTTCTAATGTCCTAACTAAGAGGCAACGAAACGGCGAAGCCAGTTCACGAATACCAGAGCCTAATTTATACAGTAGAAATCACGCTAGGTTTTTTAAAACATCTTTAAGGCAACGAAACGGCAGAGCCAGTTCACGAATACAATATAACGTGATTATGTATAATTTCTTTAACCAACCAGTTAAAATTGACACTTTAAGATATTAATTTAATAAATGATCTATTGCTTTGTCATCCTTTACTCAAACTATTAACTTTAAATAATTGGGATAACATAAAATTACTTACTTCTTTTATTCTTGTAAATTGCTTGTAAAATGATTTGATAATTATCTCGATATGTTTTTATATGTTTAAAAGTATTTAATTCGCACTTCGTCAAAAGATAAATAATTAAAGCAAGTTCTTTTCATATATAAATAAAACGCATAAAAGTCAGCCGACAACAACACAGGGCTGTGACTGATAATTGTTACTTTTTATTCTTATTTTGATTCGTAGAAAACGAACTCTCTTGGTCGCTGTCACTTCTTCCTTTTTTCGTCTCTCTGGAGTCTTTCCCTGATTCTGTCCGACTGAAAGGATTTCAGCGCTTTTTATAGTAAAATGATATTACCCCCAATCCAGGGATATTGTTGTCAGCGCTTTTAGTAATCTTTTTAGTTTATTGTATTAATTATACATTACAGGATTATTATATTCAGATAACATATTTAACAATTGACAAATTGACATATATATATAAATAATAAGAAATTGTGTTGAACATCGTATTTGTTATGACAGATAAATTATTTGTTTGTTTACAAGTTATTTAAAATACAGATTATACATTTTTCATTAATAATTATAAGATGCGTAATGCAAAGCATTGAGCATATTAAGACAAATTAAAGATAAGGTTTATCAAAAAAATTTTCTATCATTTGTTGGACCAGAGTTAAAAAAAAATTACATACAACCACGTTTGGAGTAACTGCTATTCCATTTATTATTACGTCTAGAACGTTATCTTTTACAAATAACGTTTTCTATGAATATAAAAATGAAAATACAGCTATAATAATAACTGTATTGCTCAATAGTAATCACTAATTAATAACAATTTCAATGTATATAAGGCCTAGCACGTTTTTGATAATTCGTAAAAATAATTGAATTTTAAATTTGGGGGGGCCGGCCCTGGGCCACATTAAATCTAAGGCCCACCCATGTCTACGTGCCTGTCACTATCATGAAAAACGCTTCGAAGAAAATCTGTAGATAGTGTTCTTTTAAAAAAATTAGTGGATTATTCCAAAAGTTAAATGATTTCCTGTCTCCTTATTTGTATCCTGATTACAAGTTTTATGATATAAGTGTAATATATGAATATAAATATATAATAGAAAATGGTGTTAATTAAAAAAAAAAAAGTATGTCGAATGAAAGATGTATATAAATATTATTTCTCATAAAAAAAATATATTGATCCATACATTTTTCAAAAAGTTATAGCATAATAAAGTTAAAAATATAAAATACAAAATCGAGAATTTTTACACAAAAATAGACTTTGGGAGCCATTTTCACCGTGAAGACAAAATAAAGTCCGAAATTTTTTTTCCCATAATAAAGTACATTACATTAGCTTTAATTTAAGATATGTATAAAAGTGTCAGACTTTCCCAAACACTTTCAAAAGTTAATTCTCTGTGAAAAAGTTGTCATTTTGAATTCCCCCTGTTGGCTGGTAAAGGGTTAAATTTATAAAAAAAAAACCCAAATGATAAGTAAAGATATCAAGCATCTATAAAGAAAAAAAATTATATTGATTTGGTCATTTTAAAAAAGTTATGACAGTTTTAAGAAAAAAAATTGAAAAATTTTCAAAAATTAGCAAAATTTTTAATTTTTAATTTTTTTGGAGAATTCATGGGGAACGAGGAAGATTTTTTCAATTTTATTTTTTATTCTTAATAGCACAATAACTAAATAATGCACAAACAATTTAAAAATTACATTCATTAAATTTTAAACGCAACTATTTGATATTATTTTTTCAATGGAGTCAGTATATTACATTAAAGAATTTTTATGATACACAATTATTAATTTTTTTATTTAAATATGATAGATGTATATTGAGACATTGAATGTGATTAGTAGGACGTTAGCTATTTTACAAAATTTTTATCCTTTCAAGGACTTACATTTTTTTACTAATATAAAAATATTAAATTGATAATTTAAAACGTAGAAATTTTAGCTCAACGTTTGAATTATATTGTTTTTTTTTCAAAAAATTAATAGCTTAAATTTTTTCATGCCAATTTTAACATAAATACATATTTTGTATAATTTATAATTACTTAATTCAGGATATAAAAATATTCCTCAGTGAACACTGTTATCATTAATTTCATTTTACCTATTTATTTATAGTTTTGTAGGATAATATACAAAGACAAACTAGAATATATATACAAAATGAATCCTTAGTTACATGTTAGTTAAATGTAAGAAGAAATCATTTTATTTTTTTAATACTAATGGCTCAATGATGAGCTGTTTTTTCATGAAAAAATTAATTTTTTGTTACTATCTTTTATTCCTTAAACTTGCATTAACTTTTGATTTTAAAATGGCATACCCAATTTATTTTATGCCATTAAATTTATTAGATTGGAAAAAAATTTTCTAATTTTTTAACAATTAAAACACATTTTTTAAAATATTATTCAATGTATAATGAGATAAAACTGTTTAATTTTTAAGGGCAATTAGTAAAGAACAGTGTTTATTTTTAATAGACAGCAACATTATCTTGTTGTATATCAAAAAACGTAATATGTTCATAGANTGTAGTATAATTATTAACACATGTACTAAATATCACATATGTATGAATAAAGCCAAAAATCATCTAAGGAATGTTTCCCTTTTAGGGTAATAAAAATAACTATTTATCAACACATGTTTCAAACCAGTCCCCTACAATTCATTAACTACGCCCACGGTAGGGTTTCTATCACAATTAACCAATCACAAATAATGATCTAACATCTTAGGAATTTCAATAGAGATCGCTGGTTTACTTCATCCGGCGTATAAAAAGCCATTTTTCTCGTAAAAAGGGACGCTGACGCTGACGCTGNATTATTGCTTACGCTACAATAACTTCAAAAAATTTTGAATTAATCTTTTGCAGTTAACATTTTTTATAATTTGTTTAGCAATCAAATGAATATAACAATTGGCTATAAAAATCTGATTACTTCTTGTATCACCACGTAAACCACTAGCAATCAATAAATACACAAAATCTATTATTTTTATGATTTTCGTCACAACATTTTTGTTAACGTTCACGATAGCAAGTTAATTTATTTTGTTTTACTAAAACTGTACAAAGTGAAAATTACATTAGAAATGGACACTTACAGAAAATTAAAAAGTAATAATTTTTGATGTAAATTAACAATTTTACAATTCTTCTTTCTTCTTATTAATTGATCGTAACATTTTCCCGTGTAAAATATTATGTCATCATATAAAATCGCTATCTTGTCTTTTCTAGAATTAATATTGAAAGGCATCAGGAATGAGTATAATGAAAACGGATTTGGTAACTGTGTTCTTGTTGCAGATGAGAAATTTATATCAGTTGAAGCCTCAACTGAGAAACATCAGAATTCGAAGTCTAAAAGTTACGGTCAAAAATTTGTTTTACGTACTTTTGGAGCTTTAGTCGGTTATAAACGTAAAAATTTATCTAATAATGATAAACATGAGACTTTAATTGCATTGAGTTCCGGAGACCTGTCATATAAAAAAGACAAAGTTTTGGATTTAAAAGATTACAAAAAAGATTCAATCAAATCTGTAGGTGAAATTTAAAAAAAGTTGTACGGAATTTCATAGAAAAATTTTGATTGATTTTTAGATTATGGAGTTGAGTCCATCCTGTTTTTTGAAAATTCCTACCTTGCTATTAAGTGGTGGCAATAACTTGGCTTTTAATTTAGCGTCTTTTAGCTCCTATAGCCAAAAAGAAGAATGCTATCAAGAGAAAGTACCATCAAAAGTGTTTGAAGAGTTAATTTCTCCAAGACTCGGTGAGAAATATTTTTATGTTTAAAACATACTATAATAATATATATATAAATATAAATTTATTTTTTACGGATAGTTAAAAAATATCTTTAAAGTATTTATTATTTAAGAAAAATTATGTAATCTTTTTTCTAAAACCTTTTTTTTTTCAAAACTAGTATTAATAAATAAATCATATAAATTTTTCAAGCTTAAACTCGATTGAAAATATTTATGTTAAATTGAAAATAAATAAATAAAAATTTATTTCCATAGTGCTAAAACTTTTAAAAAACGGAAAAGATATTACTTTAAAACGTGAAATCAGTAATTCGTTATTAAAAGCTCAGCATAGATATTCATGTGATGTAATGGTTTCGGAAAAGAGATCTAGTCCTTACAATATATACAAAAAATTTCCTTTAAAGGATATATCTCCTACTGTGTTTAAAAGAACACCCTCTCCAAGACTAGGTATGTAAAAAATCTATTTGTTAGTTGTGACACTGAAAATTTCCATCTGTTATTTTCTTTAATTTTTACATTATTTCGATAAGATTGGATAGGACACATAATTATTTATGTCATTTCATTATGTTTATGTGGACGTCAGACTATTTAATTGAATTATGTTAAAAAACACACGTTTCGTTTTTTTATATTCAATTATTACATTAACATATTCAAAATTTTAGGTAAACTCATTGAAAAGTTTGACAAGTTTTTCAAGGATAATAGTATAAATTTTCCAACGTATTCCACACATAACAGCACTACGTTAAAAAAACAGTTTGCTCATGAAGTACAATGTGACAAAGAGACGACTTCTTTACATATGCAACCTAACCGAGGGGTTGATTTACAGCCCTTGATTAATATACGTAATAAACCTAATACAATATTGAAAACTGAACATGGTTACTCAGGCAATAAGATAGTTTTGGAAAATACTAAAACCAGTCCTTACGGTATATATCGAAAATTCCCTTTTAGGGATATTTCTTTCGCTGTGTTTAAAAGGACACCCTCTCCAAGACTTGGTATGTAAATAAACAAATGTTTCGCATTATGCTCTTCATATATTACATAAACATATTCAAAATTTTAGGTAAACTCATTGAAAAGTTTGATAAGTTTTTCAACGCTAAATGCCAAGATTTTTCTTTGAATACAACACAAAATATCATTGACGTAGAAAAAAATTAGATTTTTGAAATCAGTTTGAAGAAATAAGATAAAAATAAACGTATAATCTACTAAAGCGGTTGTATCATTTGAAAGCAATATTAATAATAATGTCAATTTAAACTTTAAATTTGTCTTAAAAAAATTTCTTTTTTGGAATACGTCTATCACAAAGTTGAAAAGCGTACTTTTTATAAAACTCAGTAAGTAAAATTTTCAAAGTTCTCATTCATGAAATAGAGATAAAGCTGTTTATAATTTTAAACTTATTTTTTTTTAATTTAGGAAAACTACAAATGTTCGGTGTTTTTGTTAAGAAATAAAGTAATAAAGAATACGTCGTCAGTAACAATTTTTAAATGCTAATTAAGACTGCGTAGCATTCAAAATACACTGCTTTAGTTATTTAATTCGTTAAAAATGGCAAAACATGAACAAAATCGTTAATTTTATTGATGTTGCACATATTATCACAAATCAAAATATTTGAATACTTGTTTATATTCTTTTTTTTTTACATAATTTTCTTATTCATTCATCTATATAGTCTTTTTGAAACTTTTTGTTCTTAAATTTTTATTTATATCCTACATTCATTGTTATATAATTTTTAATTTTTACATTTTATAATGAGTTAATAAATTATTTATAGTTAATAATTATTGTTAGTAATTTTTAAATATTAAAAATAAAGAACCATATTAGGGGAAAAATGTATGAAATTATATTTTTACAAATAATGTTTATATTATTTTAAAGTCATTTAATAGTAAAACAAGAGGAGTTATGTGGATTATGAACGTTTAAAAATAAGAATAAATAGATATGTGCTTTACCTCAAATCTTTATATTTAAGAGTTAATAACTTCTAAAAGAACTATTCATTTTCTTTAAAAGATCATTTTTTATATATATGATGTTTAACTATATATTTATATATATTGTGTTCAGTAAGTAAGGAATCGGATTTCTATTTTTCTTAATGTTTGTAAACATTGACCTATTTCCTTTTTACTGAACACTGTGTATTTTTTATTTGGCCGTTTTATGGTATGCGTAAGTGAGATTTTGTGTAAATAAATATAGTTAAAAAAAACTGAAAAACACTCTTTTAAAGCATATCGAACTAAACCTCTAAAAATATGCTTAGAAAAATAATGAACGAAAAATACTACTATTATTGTAATACTAGTAAAATACTAGTATAGTATTTTTCGTTCATAATTGTTTTAAACTATTTTTAAAATTATTTTTAACTTTTTATTTCGATTTGCCTTAAAAATTTGTTTTTTAATTTTTTTAACTATATTTATTTTTTACTTTTTAGCTTTTTATGATATCGCTGTTACAGTCACGGAGTGTTTATTGTCAATTATGACTATTAATAAATATAATTTCTGTATTGCTAGTTAGTGTGTTTATAAACTCACAACAATGTGTCTTTTTACCATTGATAATAAAGGCTGTATACCTGTGAATATCGTTATAAAAAACCAATTAGCTACATACATGTATGTTAATTCAAAAAAAAATAGAATTTTTAATTGTTTATATCTAATAATAAACAATAAAATCACTTTTTTCACAATAATACTGGTATTTTTCGTTCATTAAAAATTATATTTGTAGCATAGATATGTGCTTTACCTCAAATTTTTATATTAAAGATCTAATAACTTCTAAAAGAAAAATTAATTTTAAAAAACCATTATTTTTCTCAAAAGGATCACTTTTAGCTTTGATGTGAATCTGAGAAGGTATTAATTTTATACTGATTTTTTTTTTTGTTTTTATTGCCACTTTTTCTCATCTCTCACCGGACAAATTTCTATCAACGAACGTCAATAGACCACAAATAGTATCTAGTTGAAGACATTACCCTTTAAAATGAAAAAAATGTCCTTTGTTACTCGTAAATGAGGAAAATATCCGAAAAAATTAGAACTCTTTTTTTATTTAATGATGTCAATTAGCAAGTTGAGCTAAAAGTTGTAGTAATAAATTTATTTTTTTTTATTATAATCTTTCACTTTAAAGGACAAAAAAAATTAGGTTAAAAATTATTACTTTTAACATATAAAAAATAAAAATCAATAGTAATTTGAAAATAATTAATTTTAAAAACTATGTAATATATAATTAAAAAATTATAATTTTGAATCTAAGAAATACAACCTGGTTATAATTAAGGAAATAGAAGTTGCTTTTGTAATTATCCTTCAATTTCTTAGAATTAAATATTGTCTACAGATTTGCATCAAAGCGTTTCTTATGATAGTGATTTTTATCACTGCCAGGTTCAATATAGACAGATCACTTTCCCACTGTATTGTGTTTTTTTTTATTTATAAGTTGTTTAAACATATATTTATATATAGAGTGTTTAGTAAGTAAGGATTCGGGTTTTTATTGTTCTCAATGCCTGTTTCCTTATTTACTAAACATTCTGTATATTTAACTATTGGAGACATACAGAGTGTTCAGTAAGTCAGGAAACGGGTTTCTATTGTTCTCATTGTTTGTAACAATGAGAACAATAGAAACCCGTTTCCTGACTTACTGAACACCCTGTATAAAGGTTGTAAGGAAGCAGGCTAATTGTTATAAACAATGAGAGCAATAGAAACTCGTTTCCTATGTAGGGTGTGTGTTTAAGTGTTTCGCACACTTCATTGTCGATCTACATTCTGTAATACTCCAATTAAATTATTTTTTATAAAAAATTCGATTTATCAAAAAAAAAAAACCTTTATGGAATTTCGATATATAACACATTTTTTATAAACATGTAACCATTATTATAATAAGATTTACACAGGCTGTAATAAGTAAAACTTACACATAATACAATTTATTACGTTATCATAATAATCAATTATAAATGTTTGAATTAATTGTATTTTAAATTATTCTATCAATTACTTATGATAATACAACTAAAAATTTGTAAGTACTTATATTTCAAATATGTGCTTAAAAATAACTTTAAGAAAAAGGTTTAAATTCTAATGACACTATTGTGCAACTAATCAAATTATTTTTGTTGTCAAGTAAATGTGTCCGAAAAGAGTACTTTCCATAAAAAAATGATTTTGGAAAATTACTGTCTTTAAATGTTGCTGAATCATATCCCCTTGAAATGTAATGTCCCTGAAAATGATTTAGAGACTCAAAAATAGTATTAATTTTAGTATTTAATAAGTTATAAATTATTTTAGGTTCATTAAAATTCGTTTTATAATATTTTGTCCTTCTAAAATATTAGATATTAATTAGATTAATTTAATGTGTATGTAAAAATAAAAAAAAGTAATTTTACGTCATAAAAACAATTTTAAGTAACACAAATTATATGTATATATATATATATATATATATTAATTGATAAAGTCTGTAAAATATTATCGCAAAATTACCCACCGTACCAAGGTGGACTATTTGATGGAATTGGTGGTCTTTTTATACCTTAGGCAAAGGACAATTTATAGTTGGAATTTGAAAAATATTAACAAAATATTTCCATGATTTCTCTCCGAACATTCCAGATTTCATTGAAGAACATGCATTTTTTACATTTACTAAAGAGTTTTCTTTCCATAGACCAACAGAATCATATTTTTCCGATAACATATGAATCTACGATAAATGTTATTTAATAGTTGAAATAAATGCATAAAAGTTAAAATACAATTTGCATATTTATTTATGTTATTCCTAATACTCACACTAAGTGAATCGTCTAATGGCTGTTTTAATGTGATATTGCCAAACAATATTTGAGAATATTTGGTGGTTATACGAGGAAACAAATTGAATTGAATTGGGTAGTCAATGCTTGAGTTACATCTTTTGTATTCTTTGATATCTAACCAATAGGGTCCCTCATAAAAATAAAATAATATTTAGTTATTCTGTTACTTATTAAGTTTTCCTTTTTTTTTTGTAGCGAAAAAAAAAATTGAGTTAAAATTATTATATTTTTAATAGGAAATAAGAACTAAAAAATCTTAGATAATACCGAGGCCAACTAATGTGAAAAATATTGGTTACATATTATGTTTACATAATACATTGTAAATGAACGAAGATTATTATCAACCCACGTTTAGAATAAATTAAATCTCTTCTTAAAATGTTGCATCGCTAAACTAAAATTTTTTCTTCAAAATTAAGTATGAAAACAAAATGTAAAAATTATCTAAGAAACATTTGAGTGAATAATTTTAAACATTTTCTGGCCTCCTAATTATATTTTACCTTTATTTCATTGATAGTTTATTTTGATTCTTTACTTACCATCAGTCTAAGTTGCGTCAAAGTAATTTCAATTTTTTTAAAAATTAGTATTAAACAAATAAACTCCTTTATTATAAACATGTTTTAGTTGATATTTGTAGCTAATTTAATGAATAATAAACCAAACCTATGAGTGTGAAAACTAAAATTCAATGAGTGCTGTAAAACCTACTACGTTTAAAGTTGAAACAAAAATATACAGAATAAATATTATAGAATTTATGTAAATCACTGAACCATTTCACGGAAAAAACTATATAGTTGGGCCAACCGAAATTACGTTTTTAGTATACTACCATAACTATAAAATATTCTTTCCGTGTTCTATATCCTATCATTAAAATATGATTTCAACCAAAAATGTAATAATCGATTTGTATTGGCATAAAAATTGTTTAATTCGCAATCAATCCAATTATCCGTAAAATACTTGTTGAAAAAGGCTTTAAAAATACAAAAAAATAGTGAATTAACGGAATTTTTCATAGATTAACAGTTATTAGTAATTATAAAAGTTCCAGATTACATATCAATCTAAAAATACGAATTTAAAATCTTCATGCAATTTTTTATTTAATGATAATAATTTAAAAAATACAAGTTGACCTAAAAAAATTTTAAAAATTCAAAAATTTTAATTTAAAATCTTTCATAATAATCAAAATTAAGCAAGAATTATTTTTAACATATTTAGAATCAAAATTAATAATACTTTGAAAACAATTTTTTTTATATCTAAATACTCGTTTTTTTAAAATTAGTAATAATCTCAAAAAAAGAGTCGATAGAAAAAAACTAACTGCAAATTTTAAGACATAAATTTAGTTTAGTATATTTTGGTCTATGATGATTAAAATATTTTTCATTTTATAGACCACTGATTTTTTGCTTAATTCAGTATAAAAACAAATTCTATACTTCTATTATTTGCTGAGATTTTAATTTTGAAATAACTTAATTTAAATAAACTATTTTTATTAAAAAAAATTGAGAAATTTTTATTTTGACGGCTAATTTTCTCATATTAGAACAGTCGCCGGAACAAATTATTCTATTAATCTTATAGGCATTTTAAAATTTTTTAAGTAATTTTTTCTAATTTTTGGTTATTGTAAGTTAAATTAGAATAAAATCGGATTCTTTTGACGTATTGATCATTAAAATCGATCCAGTGAGACCTGAAAATTTTTATGGATAGACATAAAAATCACATACACGATATTCCTAACTTTGCATCGAAACCAAAATACTTAATCAAAAATTATTGAAATAATCTATCCAATTGAGTGTATAATAAAAATTATAATTGTAAAAATTTATTGTTAAATTCAGGTGAAATGAAAATCATTTTTTTTGAAATAACTTACACAGTAACATATTACCTAAACAGTAAGTAAAGTCAAGAAATCAATAAACAACTTAGTAAAAATATTTAACTTTCTAGTTGGTATCTATTATTATATTAAACCTAAATCGACAATATATACTGAGAAGAAGTGATAACAAACACCAAAAACAAAAAAAAAAATAGACACATCATAGTAAAATTAATACCTAGTTAACTTAGCATTGAAGCTAAAATATAACTGTGTAGTTGGAAAAATTTACATCCATATAAATAAATTTGATATATTTGAAATCTACACTACAATAATTATTAGAGTAATCTTAATTGTATTTAATATATATCTCGTATATTATTATATTATATATAATATTCTTCTAGTTAATTAACAAAGTATGAAATTAGATTCATACTATCATATATTTGCCGAGGCTTTTTCTCAAATATCTGCTATTAAGGATGATAATAATCTTCATAATACTTTCAACAGCTTAACTGAAAGTCGATAATTTTTTCAAAGGCGTATTAGTGCTCAAGCATTTATCATCAAAATAAAAATGAAATTAATGATAATTTTATTTTTATATTAGAAACAACCAAACATACTGTATTGAGAATTAAAAATACCACAAATACATTTAGAAATATATAATTTTTTATAGGTGCATCGTAAATAAAATTATTTGATCATTAGACATAAAAAAATTAATTGGTAAGTACTTTAAGAATAAGGTTTTAAATCTACCACAAATCTTGTGCAACTGATAACATTATTTTTTTTCAAAAAAAGAAGACGAACTGTGTATCGCCCATACATAATAATTTTAGGCATATTACTTTCTTTCATTGAAGCCGTGTCGAATCCTTTTGAAAAGTAAACGCCCTAAAAATTTAGCTAATTGTATAAAACTAAAAATTATGTATTTTTTCTTACTATGAAATTTATGATAGGAATTTTTAGAGTACCTTAGGCCAAGGACAAGTTACCGTTGGTATTTGAAAAGCATCTACAAAACTTTTCCACGCTTTCTCTCCGTACATTCCAGATTTCATTGAAGAACATGCATTTTTTACATTTACTAGAGAAATTTCTTTGAATAGACCATGATTAGAGTCATGTCTTCCCGATAAAATATGCATCTTCGATAATGTACTTGTTAATTAAAGAAAAATTCTAAGGCATTATTTTTATATTTTAATAATAATACTCACATCCATTGAATCATCAAAGGGTTGTCTGAGTGTGATATTGCCAAATATAAGCTGAGAATAGTTTTTAGCTTTATGGGTAAACATATTGTATTGAATTGGATATTCAATACTTGAATTACATCTAATGTATTCTTTAATATCCATCCAAAAAGGACCCTATTAATTAAAAAAAAAACAGTACAATCAGTGTAAGTTTAGGGCTAAATTTGGAGATAGGGTATTTTTTAACTATAGAAGTGATTAAACCCTAAAAATATGCCTGTGTAAAATAATTAAATCTTGCAAAAATTAGGTAGAAAATATTAATATATAATATAATATGCATGTCTGGCTCCCACATAGCAATGAAATATTTCTAGAATATTTCTTTTTTATATTAAAATATTTCTAGAACATAATCAGAATATTTTAAAATATTCTCAGAATATACTTTGGCAGCGAATATTACATTCTCACAATAATTAAAAGTATTTTTCTGAAATATTAAAAAAATGCTAAACCCTGCCTCGCGGGATTCGAACCTCCTACTTCGAAAGCTAGAGGCACACGCGTTACCAATTGACCACAGGTTACAATGTCGATGAAATGATAAAAAAGGTTATTTAAGGTAGTTAAAATTTTCAATGTCATTTTTCCCTGTTTAGGGGAACATTGGCGAAAAATTCAAAGCAAGTGCAACTATATATTCAATTTAGATTCATTGTAACTTTTTGAAAATTAGTGATTCCATACCGTGACCTCCCCTTATAAGTTAGAAACTGACCTGTATTATTGGTAATATAAAAATATATTCTAAATACAATAAAAAAACTTATTAAGGATTTTATAATAAGTATATAAAAAGTAACACATAAGTATTATATAACTAGATACCAATAACATCCAAGAGTGTTACTAAAGGGAGGCAAGGGGATGGCTTGCCTCTCTTAAGTTACCTCAGTTGGCCAACAAGATACATATTTATAATATTTAAAAAATTATATTGATAATACATACCACAAATATATCGAGTTAAATATTCTATATTTATTCTAATTAATATTATTAATTCTAATATTTTCATAATATTTATAAGCGAATATTTAAAAGGTTTTTTTTTGAAGCACATTATAGAAATTATAGTGTAATATTCCGTATTTATTCTCTTTAATTTATTCTCAAAATGTACATAAAAATATATTAAAAAATTATTTTGTTAGCATTTTGTGGAAATATATCAAATATATTTTTTATTATATTTATGAAATATTGTCACTATATTTGCTTCAAAATATTTTAAAAAGTATTTTTTAAGAATATTTTGACAATATTAATATATCGAAATTGCTATGCGAACTGAAGTATATAAACTGCTCTAGTCTTGCAAAAAATAGATTTATTTATGATACTCACCATTAATTTTAATTGTGTTTTAATAAATTTCATATTTCCAAAAATTAATAGAAATAATATTAATACTTTTTTTACCATCATATTTTATGCAATTATTGACATTAATTTCCTACTAAATATTAGAAAGTTAGAATTAAAAATCAGTAAACGTTATTTCAGTGAATAGAATTTGAAGTGAATTAAATTTATGGAGAATGTATAGACTTTATTTCATACATTGAATCGTCGAATTATTCTTCCATTTGATATCGTTATTGGGTTCAAATATTATATTGTAGATTAATATCACTACAGTATCTACAAGCATTATTATATTTTATTTATAAACATATGTCAGTTGTTTATAATTATTATACGAAAGGTTTTTAATTTTGTTTTTTTACCATTAAAAAGTTATTTACGGTCTCGAAGGTCTTAAAGTACATAACACAATTGAAAAAAAACATAGTTAAGTATATAATAAAAATTCACTTATGGCTAATATTATATACAATTAAAATTATTTTAAAATATTTATTTATTTCTATGTTTTTTGTTATATACCTTTCTATTGTTCCTAATGTGCCAAAAAATTGTCTTTACATATCGTTTCCACATGGTCTTAGACATGAGTAATCTAGGACAAGATTCCCTAGGTAGTGAAGGAAAGGGACTGTAATATTTATTACTTATAATATTAACATATAATATGATGTTATCATTTGTACATGTAAGTCACATATTATGGTTATACATTATAATATTAGAAACATATTATATTATATATTAAATATTATACACATAATGATGACACTCAGAAAATTTTAAATTGAATTTTGTTTTGGTGAATATTTTAATTTAATTTAATTTAATTTGCTTGAAGTGCTTGAGGATATATCCATGAAAGCTTTAACACATTCATTAATTTAATTTGTTCGTTAAATAATAATGTTTTATTTTTCTTATCGTGGAAATAAATATCAAATAACATTTTAAACATTTAATCTTTTTTTTAATTATTTTATTTTAATAATAAATCCAACCCAACTTTAAATTTTATTTAATAATAAAAATCTATTGTGAGCTTTTCTTATTGGGTTTAGTTAGTCTCTGAGCTTAATGTCTTTGTTCTAACGAACATCGTGCCGGCGGACAGAGCTAAAGGTCAGTTAATACTGAGAATTAAATAAATTTATTAATAAATTTATTGGACTAAGTGTATTGCAACTCTATACTTACTGGGTAGCTAGTCATTGAGCTTAATGTCTTTGCTTTAACGAGCATCGAGCCGGCGGACAGAGTAAAGGTTACAACTAAATATTATTCTAGAATTAGGTATATTACGTTGAAATATATTTGTAAGCCTATGTGTATTGGGTAGCTAGTCTTTGAGCTTAATATCTTTGTTCTAACGAACATTGTGCCGGAGCGCAAAGAAACTTACGAATATATTTTTGGTGTTTAATTTTTGTCTTGGTGATTATTGTGCCGCATCCTTTCAAGACGCTAGAGCCGGGACACATTGGGCCATCACAATTACGCCTTGATAAATCTTTTACATAAATATAAATATTTTTGAATCTTGTTTTGGCCAGGCCATAGGACGATTTAAGAAATATTGGTGTCAATCTCTCAATATAATATACTCTCTCAAAAAAAAAATACTTATTCAACAAACGTAAAAAATTTAATTAAAACAGATTATAATTATATCTCTATATATAAAATATAGAGTGTTTACAATGTTTTACAAGTAAGATCAGTCGTAGACTTTGTGTAGTTAAATCATATTATTTAAAATTTGAATTGTTTTTATAAGTAATTATATTAAATATATGACGTATAGTGTAATTTAATACCAAAATCAATATTGGAATACTTGAAATATTATTGTAATACATAGGACGTAAGGTAAGTACAATTTAACCTATGCTTTCCAACCTCCAACAATCAATTGCGTAATAAACCATCAATAAAAATTAAATAGGATAATTAAATAATTAATGAGAGCATTAATAGATTGAATAAAATTATATAAATTCAAATAATTTAATATTCCAAACAATTCCCCCATCAAATCAATTCTATTTTTATTATATTTTATTCTATTATTCTGATCTATATTTCTATTATATTCTAATCTATTCTAACATTTTTTTTTATATATTTGTATTCATATTTATTTTTATCTTTCTTTCTTTTTAATTTAATTTTTTTTATTTTTGGTCTATTACAAGTGGCGTGTCCAACTAGTAGCTTTGAAACCCTTGAGATTATAATTTTTATCACGATTTTATTAATGAGGTATACTTTATTCTTATTTAATAAAAAAATTGTAAAATTTATACATTTAAACTTTTTATATTTCTGACACACTAAAATTTTCTATTATTTTAAGAATCTTAATTTAATAAATCTCATTTTTTATTTAGAAATGATTTTTTTTTAATTTGAAATTATACCTCAATAAAATAAATCTTTAATATGTAACACATAATTTATAATTAAACTTTATTTTAAGTAACCTACGTTAATTTTTTAGAGTTTTCTTTTATTCTTATGATTTACTTTATACCAAAAATCTTAATTTTTTTTTTATTAAAATTCTTTTGCAATTATAATATTAATATCATTTATACAAAATTCAGTATTAAACAAACTTTTATTTAAGTAACACAAATAATTATAGCCCCAATAACATTAATGAGATTTTTTTTAAGAAATATGATTTCAAAATATAAAATATTAGAAGTATAAATATTATAAATAATCTATACAAAGTATTCTATTAAAAATTATAACTTACAATTTAACATAATTATTCATTCTATTGCTTAGTTTTTTATTTTACACCTAATCACTTTAAATAAGCTATTTATTTTCATAATAATTGGAGGCGGTTTTGAACAAACAACAATAAAAGCAGTCAATTAGTTTCATACTAATATCATTTTTTTATTTAAAAAAATATAATTAAAAAAAATTATGCATAATTTCTATAAATCAGTATTGATAAAATACAAATCACTGCATTAAAACCATGATTATATGAATAAGTCGTATAAAAACCCAGCACAATGGGGTGGCGGCACAGTGGGGTGGTGGCAAANACAAATAAAAAAAAAACCCAGCACAGTGGGGTGGCGGCACAGTGGGGTCGTGGCATAGTTGGGTCCAGTATAGATGATATCTGACAGTGATTAAAATCACTATCATAAAAAACGCTTCGATGCAAATCTGTAGATAGTGTTTAATTAAAAAAAAAGAATTTGTTAAAATAGCNAAAATTGAAAATCGAAAATTTTAACACAAAAATAGTGTTTTTTTAACTACGGTAGCCATTTGCGCATAGAAGATAGGTCGTCGGGACAAATTTTTTTTTTTCATTTTATAGTACATAAAATAAGCTTTAATGTGATATTTGTGTAAAGGACGCAGTATTTCCGGAACATTTTCAAAAATTAAGTTGAAAAAGTTAATTTTGGTAAAAAAGTTGCTATTTTAAATCCCCCCTAATGAGCAGGTTAAGTGATAGATTTTCAAANCTTTAATTTGATATATGTTTAAAGGACGCAGTATTTCCGGAACATTTTCAAAAATTAAGTTGAAAAAATTAATTTTTGTAAAAAAGTTGCCATTTTAAATCCCCCCCAATGAGCAGGTTAAGTGATAGATTTTCAAAAAAATGATATCAAATGAAAGGTAGATATCTAACATTTTAGTATAAAAAAAATTATGTTGATTCGTTGATTTTTCAAAAAGTTANAAAAAATTATGTTGATTTG